GGCAGCAGGTGGCACTTCTCAGTGCTGTGCCTGAATCCAGGCACTGCTGTCTCCCCTCGGGTTCCCATGAGAATTCGTTCTGCCCTGTGGAGTGCCGAGTGTGGGCTGGGCCCCACAGGGTGTGGGGTGCAGGGCAGGGGTCCCAGCCTCACAGGTCTCCAGACAGATGGGTGACATGCTTCCTGCTGCTGCCAGGAAGGAAGGTTTGAGCAGCTCCAGCATCTCCTTTCTGGGAGGGATCTGGAACTCGCAGTCAGCTACCAGGGAAGGTTGGGCAGGTGAACTCCGTGGTGTCCCATTGGTGCTGGTAGGAAGCCACCCCTTGTGTTTAGGAGCTGGCAGGTCTGGAAGCCCTGCAGCATTGCCAGGGTTTGCTGCAGGCGTTATGCTTCTCCCACTGGGACCTGGCGGGTGTTGGAGCTGGTCACAAACAGCTGGTTCCTAAACAGCTTCCTTCCTGGACGCTGTGGTGAGAAGGTCACTTGGCTGGACACCTGCCTTTGTCGGGGCTGCACCTGGCTAGATTGCTGCTGTGACCCTTGGTGGGAAGCAATCCCACTGGCAGGGAGTCCCTGAGACAGCACGCACAGTCACAGGCAGCCCATCCAGGCAGGACAGTCCCCCACCCCTATGTCCCCTGACATGACATGCACCCAACACGCAAGCCCCTCTCCCACCCCTCAGGTCACCTGCAAGGAGGAGTACAGCTCTCTCCTGTCCCCAGGGCCAGGCCACTGACATTGGCCAGCTGCAGCTCCCAGCAGCTGTCTTTGGGTTACTGTGCTGGAGGAGTCAGCAGTGAAACCAGGCCGGGGAGAGCCCGAGCAGGGCAATCCCTCTGCCTCCCCTAAAAAAGGCCAAAGGCAGCAGAAGAAAAGAGGCCAGCAAAGCTTGTTTGATAGCTTTATTGCTTCTGTGATATGACTGAATTGATGTGACATAAGCTGGCTTGGAGGAGCCTGCAAGACTCTTGTCCTCCCTGCCTAGAGGGGAAATTAAAAAAAAACCTGCAGAAACTAAAACTAATTTTAAAAACTCATTGAGTTCTTGCATCTCAGCTTGGTACTGTACTGGTAAGCGCACTGGTCTTTGGAGTGAGTCCCTGTGCAGCCTGTGCAAGGAGCCAGTGCCCGGAGGGGCTAGGTAGTAGCCTGGGTCACCCACACCAAAGGACACGTCTCTTAATACCATGTGTGATGCACGCTTGGACCGAAGGCATGCACTGGTGCCAGTGGAGCTCAGTGTGGTGGCCACCTCCCTGCCAGGCAGTCTGGAAGTCCTTGCCTGTCCCTGGTGCTGCCTGTACCCAGCCTGCCAACCCCTGTCCTGACCCCTTCCCCCTCTCCCAGCAGTGCCCACACTGAGAGGTAAAGCAGCATGGCAGGGCAGGGCCTTCCTGCTGCTCCCTCCCAGGAAAAGCAAATGCTGGAAAGCCAGAGATGCTCGGCTGAGTGATGCCGGGCCACAGAGGATCCTGCTGCTGCCTCATGCTCCCTGGCCGTGATGCCTCTGTTTGGCACGTGCTTAAGGCCACAGCATGGCTAGCCCTAACGGGGTGAGCTGGTGGAGGGAGCCCGACGCCAGAGTGGCAGACACTGGAGATGGCTGTAAGCCACAAACGCACGAGCAGCCCATGCTCATGGTGTGGTCAGCATAGCAGCAGCTCTCTAGCAGCCCCTCTTCCCTGGAGCAGCACGTGGTGGCTGGCCTGCAGCTCCCCACATCTGCATCAGCTGAAGCAAAACGCTGCTGTGGGAGCTGGCTCCTCAACCTCCCTGCACTTCCCTGGCCTCTCTCTAGGCAGGTTCCCTGCCATCCAAGTGGCCTTTCTGCACCGCAGTGCATCAGAGGTGCCAGGCAACCCTGCTCTATATTTAGGCTGTGGAGAATTCCCCTGGGCTCTCCCTTCCGAGCTGAAAAGGTGAGTCACTGCAAGGGAGAGGCCAAGACTCACATCTGTCCCACTGACCCTGCTCTGACCTGCACACACTGCTCTGAGCTGGCAGGACTGCAGCATTTCGGAGGGCGGGAGGAGGTGGCTGCAGGTGCATGTGGGGAGGCAGCCAAAGGAAGAGCATCCAGGAGCAAAACCCAGTGCTGCATACTGCTCCTAGGTCTGGGGTGCCCAGTCATAGGGCTGCTCAGTGGGTGCACTTGTCCCACCCATGTCAAATGGGACAGTGAGTTAGAGGGAAGCCTCTGGCCCCCAAACAACCCCCCATCCTCTTTCCTTCTACTTGCGGGTGGTCCTGACCCACCACAGTTACCCTGGACCATGTGCTCATCTATTCAGCCTGGGCACTTCTGCCTGGAGACCCCCACCAAGGTGGAGGGAAGGGCTTGGAGTCACTTCCCTGGTCTGCAGGACAGCATCCCATAAAGACCTGTCCCCGGCTGTGGTGGGGAGCAGAGATGCCAGGGAAAGCAGAGCAGGGGCCATGCTGTCTCCTTGGACCTGGACCCAGTGAGCTGGAAGATAAAGGTGCCCCACAAACTTGTAGTGCTCAACAAAACAGACTAAATCAAATTAATGCCATCACAAGCCTCCATGGGGGCGCTTCCCCCAGGGGGTGGAGAGGAGCCCAGCATGGACACCAAAGGCTCTTCACCGCCCCCCCCGCCCCCGGCTGCAGCTCTCTGGCATCTCAACTCCCTGTAGCATATGGATGCGGCCCAACACCCCACCAGTGCCCCAGGGCTCCTACAGCAACTAGTTAAAGACTCAGTTCAAGCACCAAGGTGGAGGGCGGAGGGCAGGTGCCCACCCTTCCCCAGCCACAACCTTGTCCAGGTCCAGCCCAGCCCCCCCCCCCGCTGCCACTGTGGCAGGGACTCTACAGACAATGGTCCCAGGTCCAGGCTGACACACAGGAACTGCAAAGGGAGTGTCGCCTGGCGAGAGCCATGGAAATCCAGTCCCTTGGGCTGCTTGAGCAGGAAAAACAAATTGGGGGAGAATATTCAAAGGCTTATCTGCCACAGCGTATGCTCAAAAACCTGCTGGAAACCTCAGGTCTCCATGCTGGAAACCTCACAGAGCATCCTGGGGGGAGGTGAGCAGGGATCGCCTGTCTGGGAGGCCAGAGGGACAGGGGAAGGGACATGAGAAGGCAAAAGGGAAGGGAGAGCCTCCCAGCATCTGTCTTCTGCAGCCTGGAAGAGGCAGGATTCTTTGAGCTGCTCCCAGACTACAAGGCAAGCAGCAGCCATGAGCAGAAGCTGAACAGGACTTGCCCCTGCGCAAGCTCTTCGGCTACAGGGGCACTACGGAGGAGAGGCTCCTGAGGGACACATCCCACGCCGGTCTGTGGGCAGTACCCAGCACCATGTCCTGAGAGCTGTCTCTGCCTGGAGCCTGGTCTCAAACCATTCCATACAGTTTGCTCCTCTGCCCCACATCTGGGCCATTTTCTGTCCCTCCTGCATGTCTCCTCTGGGGTCTCAGACCCAGAGCCACAGCCCCTTGCAAGTCAGCGGGAGCAGAGTTGGGCCAGGGGAACCATGTGAGCCCTGCTGTGAGAATCCCTTCCTTGTCCATGTTAGGGCCTTGTTCCCCCTTCAGTTCAAAGCAAGGCAGACTGCAGTCCTTGGGCTATGTCGGATGCAGCACCAGGACCAGGAGCCCCATCACCATCCCTTCAGGATCCCCTCTCCACTGACCCCAGCACTGGCTGGCTGCACAGGGACTTGGCTTGGGACAGTGCCCACGGGCGCAGTCCAGCCTGCTCCAGGCTAGGAGAGCATGGGAGGTGATTTCCACCTGTAACCATTTTCCTAGCAATCTCCCTTCTGCCCGTGCTCTCCTGGTGGATGAGATCACCCCGCTGTCCCCGCACTTGGCCACATCACTCAGTTTATTCCAGCTCCCCTGAAATACGTATACAAATCAAATGTGCAAATACCGCATCTTGGGATCAAGATGGCAAAGGAAGTGACGTGCTCCTGAGAGCAGGAGGAGCAGCAGTGCTGGAGCAGCACGGCAGGAGCTTGGAAATGAAGCGAGCAGGGGCTGAGCAGAGGATGAGGGTTCCCAGCAGGCCCCGACTGGAACGTAAAACAAACATCTTTGGTGGCCTGCTCTCGAACTGTAAAGCTTCAGACCTCTGTGCAAGATCTGACCTCCTTCCAAAGAATAAATTACTCCTCTCCCCCACAAAAATAAAGCAAGATGCTGTCCAGAAATGGTGACACCAATCTACATGGACTCCACAGGGGTCCTGCACAGCAGGCACAAACCAAGACGCCTGAAAGCCTTGAGCACAACAAGGCAAGGCTCCTCAGCGCCATGACAGGCAGGAAGGTGGGGAGGGTCTGCTGCAGGCAGAGAAAGCCATCGTCTCCCCGCTCCATCTTGGGGTCAGAGGCAGGGCAAATGGCTATGGAAAAGCCAAGTGGCTGCTGCCGCCACCTCTATGCAGGAAGCAAGGAAAAGTACAGAAAAACAAACCCATGCTCATCTCCATCCAGAAGCTCCAAGTGGAAAACGAGGGAAAGCCATTATTCTCCCTTTGAATTATAGCAGCACCAATGACACCAAAGTTTTGGAAGGATTTGTTCTCCTGGGGAAAGGTCTGAGGCCAGTGACAATGCAGATGGAGCATGGAGAGGCCGGACTTTTTGCAGGGCTGTGCACAAGCAGACTTTGCCTTGCACCTTGGTACTTCCTAGTATGATTCCAGCAGAGTTTCTTTTAAAAAATAATACTTTGTACATTCAGGCATTGCTGCCTTGGGGCAGCGTCATCTCCCATTTGGCACAAACTGTTTTATTCACAAACATTTCTTCTCTCTCCTGAGTCTTTCCTTTCAGGACACAGAAGATCTGTCTGCGATGCAGAGTTCAAGAAGTGTCCACTCAGCTCCTTGCCCACCTCCTGCCAGCTCTAGGCCTGGAGGCAGCAGATGCAACCCTCGTACAGACTGGCAATGCGAGAGGGTCTTCCCAGAGCACCTGGGCATCTCTGTGGGTCTTCAGCGAGGTGGGATTCTTGTGGGGGCTGTCAGTGCCTGCTCCCAGAGCTGCAGCATATGTCTTCGTCTCCTCCTTTGGCGCCAGCCACTCAGATCCCACTGGTTAGGTCAGTGATGACTCGGGCTTTTACCAGCTTCCGCAGGAACTCCTTCTCTCGCTGGATGTTGTGCGTCCAGGACTGGAAGGAAATGGGAGAGACAGGAGGTCAGCAGCTATCCTGGCCAAGCATGCTCCTGTGCCTCACGTTGCAGAGACTCCAGCTGGAGCAGGGCAGTGGCTTCTGCCAAGAAGACAGACCCTGTAGCAGACCAGAAGAGCCCTTACAGTAGACCAAGGGCCTTCTCTTATCTAAAGCCAATACAGCTAGCAAGGTCAGACCCATGTATCTGAGGTAGGAGACCTCCCTATGGGCAGGGTGAAATTTTTTTGGCATGGTGAGACCTGGGCAACCCAGGTACCTTGGGCAGATGTAGCTGGTTACAGTGCCTCCCAAGCCACTGCACACAAGAGTCCAACAGCGCAGCATCAACAGTGATGTATGCTGGGGAACAGAGCTAGCAGAGAACAGGGTGGCAGGACGTGTCATACCCACATACAGCTCCCTGCCAAGGGAGGTCTCTGGGGAATGCATGGGGGTGCATGCAGCTGAAAAGCCCCAAGACCAGCCCCATCAAGGCTGTCTCTTGCCTCTGCTAGCCCTACCAAGGGGAAACCACATGCTAAAGGCTACACTAATACAATGTGAAGGGTGAAATGGTCACTTGTTCCAGCCAGGCACTTCAGAGCAATGATTGCTACAGCTGGTGTCAGCCCACCCAGATGTGTTCCCTGCAGCAGGCTTTAGCCATGATTACAGCATCTGCCATCACTCCCCTGAACTGGTACTATTAGAGCACTTAATGAAAGCATTAAGTGGTTTGTCTCCCTGGGGAGACCAAGGCAGCACAGGGAAAACCAACTTTGACCAAAATCTTCCAACAGGACAAGAATCCCAGTAAATTAATCCAGGTCTCCAGCACAGTGCTCTGGACAGCAAGTCATCGGAGCTCTAAATACAATCTGGACCATGATAAAATCACCCTACAGGATCCTCCCTGAAATGGCCTCAAACCAACAAAGCACCAGCCTAACGAGCCCTTTGAAGGCACTTTGTCACAGGTATCTAAACCCAGTTTATCCACTGCAAAGCCGTGGGCACCTGCCTGCAAAGTTCTGGTTGTATCCATCACACACAACGTGCATGTAGCTCTCCTGTCATCCGCTGCTTGTCCTGTCCTGTCCAGGATAAGCAGCTCTCAGCCATGATTGCTGTGTAGCACTGACAGCCCCAGTCACAGCATACAGCCAAGAGCTCCAAGGCACTGAAGGTCCCTCTCTAGGTTTAAAGCACATTTTGGAAATACCTCTTTTGCTGCTACTACATGTTTACAAGCCACTTCCATCCCCTTGATGCACACGAGTGATGACAGTTAAAGCTTCAGTTCAGGCAGGTCTTATCTTGTAACCCGTGTTCCAAAGAAGTCTTTGACTTCCTCTGCTTCCAGTGACACTGTTACCTGAACGCTGCAAAGGGTGCACCAGCAACAGGAACAACCAAGCCACACATGGTAAACTATGCTCTTTGGGACCCTGAAAATGCAGAAGACCCTGTCTCTAAACTGAAAAGATGCTGCCCAAAACCAACTTAGTGATTGGCTTCTAGCTAGCATAAAGGCAGAAACTGAAAACTGGCACTGGGAAGAAAGCTGGCTTGTAGAAGGAAAAAAAGCATGAATTTCAGAAAGCGGTAGTAGAGTGATGGTGGTGCAAAGGGAACTGGGAGAGCAGGTCTGTGTGTACCTGTCACTTGGAGCCAGAGAGCCAGGATCTCCCAATGTGCTGGAAACAGTCCCACCTGTCAGCTGAGTGTCCCAGGCTTGGCCTCCGCCATGCAGCAGCATCAGACAACACAGACCCTTGCTAGGAACACACGGCACTGGCAGAGGCAGCCAAGTGTGCATGTGTGCTCCTGCTAATGGTCAGTGAGCAGCTTGTCTGCTGGCACAAAGGCCAACAGGTCTCAATGCATTCACTTGCATCTGGCTGGGCTTGTTGTTCAAAGCCTATCTGGAGCACGAGGGAGCCTGACATGCCCAGTATGTCATAGCACAAGCTGATCCCTCCTTCAGGTCTTTCAGCCTCATCAAACAGTACGAGAAGCCAACTGGTTTCACCCAGGACAACCTGCTTGAGCCCGTTGGTACAGACGGTAACTAGGGAAGCAGCCACTTCTAGGCAAACTCAAACCACCTAAAATGTCACCTCAGGCCACATGCAAGTGACTTACCTGATGACAAGAAGAGATCTGCTTTGTGAAAGGTACAAGTGGAACAGGAATTTAAGTACAGGAGATGGATAATAAAACTTCGGGCGATACAATTGCAGTCTCTCACATTATGGCTAGATCTGGCTCCAGCATTGACTGCAGGGCTGCTGGCAAGTCCTTATAAACCTCTGGCTGTTCAGCATCCAGGCTGCTCTATACCCTGGGCACTACCACAAACTCCTCTTTCCAAGCAGAAAGCTACATGTAAGGGAGTTCAGCCTCCCATTTGATCCGTGAGTCTTAGTAGTATCTGTGGCAGTACTCTCAAATATTCTGTGGCTGAATGTAAGACCACAGAGGAAGAGTATTCCCTGGTGAGGATGGGCTTTCATCGCTCCCAAAGAGCACCAGCAGGGTGCTTGGTGCAGCGCTGCTCTCCCCCATGCCTGATGGCAACGCAGGCAGGAGGGATGGGGCATGTCTTCAACACCAGCTCTGGTTACTGATTACAGGAGAGGGACTCACCCCATTGACAGACAGAGCTAATCAGGCAAAGGATGCTGCATTCCAGTACCAGCAGCAGCAGTGTGGAGAAGAGCTCGAGCAGATTTCTCAAAACTGCCAGAGAGAGGCAGGCACCTCACTCTCATTGACCCAACAGGGGAAAGGCAACAAAATACACCCTAAAACCTAGCAGGTTTCAGGGTGTATACATCCTAAATAGCACCCTGGGGAGCACAGCCTGGGTAGCACACATCGCTGGGAGAGCCCGGCAGATAGGAAGGCTCTGTGAGACGGCTGCAGGGTCTCATGAAAGACCAGGCCTTGGCAGGCTCAGGTTTGCTTTGGGGCCAGGACCACATTATGGCTGTTGTAAAGTGAAGTTCTCTTTTGCCACCCCTCAGTGGGTAAGCTGAGCTGCTCTGTGTAACCAAGCCTGCAGGCAAGTTGTCCTGGAAATCTTTCAGCTGACGCAGGTCCTGAGCTGCAGCAGGATGATAAAAACCAGGCAACGCTCTGGCCACCTGTGTCCCCACAGACAGGGCTGTGCTGTCAGAGTGCTCATTTTGACATTTTAAGCAGAGGATTGTGAGCTGGATCCATGCCTGGAGGATGATTATATGAAGCCGCTGCAATACTGGCGGTTTATTCCTGCTACTACTGCAAAGGAGCCTTTTCCTGCCCTCAGATGCTGGATGCACTTTGGCTGCCTTGGCAAAATGCTCACTGTCCCTTCTGCTTTGACTCTGTCTTCCCATGCACATCAAGCCATTACTGCCCCATTTCCTATTCCTGTACATGGGATTGTTCATGGTCAAAAACGTCCTGCCCCAAGTCCTGAAGCTACACTTCAGCTCACAAGCAGAAAACTACAGCTTTTCTGGAGCAGCTCAGAGCATTCACTGCCACCTCCGCCTTCTTGTCCCTACATGTCACCACCACTGCTGCTCCTGCAACCTGGCAGACTGGCTCTGCCCTCTCCCCTCTCCGCTGCTCACATCAAGCAGGCGTCTGGTGGATGCAATGCTTCCACTTGTGCAAACAAACGGGCTGCTTGTCTGAGCCCATGACGGCCGGAGTAATGCACTTCTGGGAGTTCCAACAGGAATGTCCCAAGAGGCTCCAGAGCCCTTCTTGTTCTTTGGGGATCAAGTTGGGATTTCCTTTGCTTTGGGTCTCTCTCTGAGTAGTGGATGTTTTCTCTTTTCAGCAGAGAGACACAGCAGGAGGACAGTTGCTTTGCAAGCACATGCACTGTTACGGCCGTCCTTTCCAGAGAGGTGGCAGTGGGTCTGATCGTTTGGTCACAGTTATTAGATCAAAATTTATCATCAGCAAAAGCCACCTTTCAGGGTTATGCAAATGCAGCAGCCCCAAACCACCTGTCCTTTTCTTCTTGATGATTCCACAAGGAAGCACAAAACATCCTCTGTCCCTTCAAGAGAAACAAGTAGAATATTTTAACACTAAGAAAATGTTTCAGAGACCAACCCAGGAGGAAGGCAAGCTCCCCATCTTGTAACTAATTACAATCAGGGAATGCCTCAGCTTCAGAGCACATTACTCTTATCAAGTATATTGCAATATCTTAAAATACAAGAAGAAGAAATCAAAGTGAGTGAAGTCAATGAGGAATGCGTTCAAGAAAAACAGCAAGTTGTAAAGCAGGAGGTTTCTCAGTTCTGTTACATCCTCTGTATTTGTGCAAGTCAGCAGCACTTCTCGCCGAAAACCTGCACAGAAATTACAGTCCCAGCAAGAAGTGCTACTTCACTGGTAAAAGTTGGTTTCCAGGCTCCAACGGTCCTAATTCATCTCTGCCTTTAACCTTCACTGCCTTGTCTGTAGAGCTGCTTATTTTGCATGATTCTGCCTTGCCCACACCCTTTCTCTGGTCCTGGCATGGTAACCACGAACACTAGGTGTTTGAACACTAGGTGTTTTACAGCTACCCCTGAGCTGCAGTTTCACCTCCCAGTGCCCCTCCCAAGACACCAGTGCCCTGCCTCGTTTGGGACCTGTCACCCCCTCCTCTCTCAGTCCATCTGCCAGGACTTGGCAGCACTCCAGACTGCCCCACCCCACCAGTCCCACCTGCACCCCCTCGGCAGTCACATACACTGAAACAAAAGGGAGGCCTGGCCACCCTCCTCTTTTCGTGTTTAGGAGATTTACTCCCAGCTCCTTTATGTCCAGTCATTCCTATACCAACTTGAAAACAGCTCTTTTAGCTCCTGCTTATTCTTAATACATGGAGCGAGAGCAATAGTATCTCTTATCAGTCTTCATTGTAGCAAGCTAAACAAGCCATGTCTTCCTTCTATGAAAACAGGCTGTTCATGTCCCCTGTGAAAACTGGGAAATTGCCCAAA